AAAAAAAAAATAAAAAAAAAAAAATAATAATCCAAACGGTGTGCCAAATGCATCCTTTTCAAAAAACTAAACATTTCCTGAAATGTGCATTTTTCTAAAGCTGTTGTATTCTATTATATTTTGTTCATGCAGCTTCCTTCTGGAGAGGAGATCCCCCTCCCCCCTATCATCCTGGGGAGTTTGGGATCAGACCCCAAAAAGAAGACTGTGTGTATCTACGGCCACCTCGATGTCCAGCCAGCCAATATTGATGACGGCTGGGATACCGAGCCTTTCACTCTGGTGGAGAAAGATGGTGAGAGAAGAACCTGATCAACTTTGATAAATTTAAAAAAGAAAATTGCCTCAAGCTACTGACTGAAACTAAAATGCTGTTTGGACATGTAGGATAAGTAACTCCCGGGTTTCTTTTACCACACTTCCATGTTATACTGCAATTTTAGAACCACTTCTCAAAATGTGTGCAACAAAATTGCAGGAGTAAAAGTGGATGGATATAAAACTTTTCTTCTTGCTCATCTAGTCTAAGAATTTTTCTGATGGTGTTTTTGTTTTTCTAAAACATTGTTTTGTCTTTGCAGGTAAGCTCTACGGAAGAGGTTCCACTGACGACAAGGGTCCAGTATTGTCCTGGCTTAACTGCATTGAGGCCTACCAGAACATCCAGCAGGTAAAGTTACTGTCACAGTTTGGCTTTTACCCCTGTAATCATGAGATGTGAGATCTAAAACTCTCTGTGTCGAGACTCTACAGTGATACATCGAGCATCAAGTACACCAGAACTTTCCCTTTCAGTTTGACGGCAGCTCTATTATTGTTTCACACGCTCACAAACCAAGCTTGCTCTCTTGTAATCACAATCGTTTGTTATTTTGAAGTCCTGCCAGCCAGAGCATGTTTTCATCTCAATGGTGAAAAACATGAAGATGCTTGTGTGTGGCTTCAGTATGGTGAACAATGAAGTGTCAACACCCATCAGAAATGTGCTGTTTGGAATGCTGTTTGCCTGGAAATACACATGGGTGTGGTCATTTATTTTAGGATGGGAATGCTTTTCTCCGAGGTGGTATGTTGTGGTTTTCTTGCCGTTAAGGTGCAGTTTCTAGGAAGGGATCACACAGGAGACTCAACAACAAATTGAGTGATTTAGTTTCCGCTGGAGCGGCATGGTGGGGTAGTGGTATAGGGGTCCATAGGTGTGAATGGTTGTTTGCCTCTGTATTCTGGCCCATTGATATGCTGGCCAGGGTGTACCCCGTCTCTTGCCTAGTGCCAACTGGGATTGGCTCCAGTCCTCCACACAATCCATTCAAGATAACATATATATGATGAGAGGATTGATGGAATTTCCTCTCGAACTTTTTTGCACTCAACTCATCACAAAGCCCAAGACAGGCTGTATCTTGCATGATAAATCTACCTGTGCTGCTCCAATAGGTCTCTCATGAATATTTTTGTTTGACTTCTAAACAATTAAAAACCATAATGAACAAATAATACCTACTACTAGGCACTGTCTACATAATATAAAATATCTAATGCCTAAAGTTGACAAACCTTGTCCGTTATCTTCTTCATTTTCCAGGAGCTTCCCATCAACATCAAATTCTGCTTTGAGGGGATGGAGGAATCTGAATCCCAGGGCCTGGAGAAATTGCTGTTATCCCAGAAAGACACCTTCTTAAAAGACGTGGACTACGTCTGCATCTCTGACAACTACTGGCTGGGCAAAACCAAACCCTGCATCACCTATGGTCTGAGAGGACTCTGCTACTTCTTCATTGAGGTAGAGTCAACACCAGTGTAAATCTGCGTTCTGTGAAGGTGTGTTGTGACGCAGCACATCACGATAACAGTCTGTTCTTAACTTTAAAGGTGGTTTGCTCTAAGAAGGATCTGCACTCTGGGGTGTTTGGTGGATCTGTTCATGAGGCCATGACCGACCTCATTGCACTTATGGGCAAGTGGAGCTGATTATCATACTATAACGTCATTGACTCAAACTCAGATCATAAATGTACGTTTCTCTGAACTGTTTTAATCTCATGTTTGTTACTTCATAAACAGGCTCCCTGGTCACCGGGAAGGGGGATATTTTGGTTCCTGGGATAAACGACGATGTGACCAAAGTGACAAAGGAGGAGAAAAAGCTCTATGAGGATATTGAGTTCAATGTGGTTGAGTTCTACAAAGACATTGGAATTGATCAGCCGCTGTATGACACTAAGGTAATGAAATGATTTTTCTTTTTTACATTATGCGAAGTAAAACAGAAAACACTGCTGCTCTGCTGTGTTTCTTAATGTAAATTCATATCAATTTAAGTGTTTAACTGTTTCTTCATTTTCTTCCCTGTAGGAGGAAGTCCTAATGCACCGCTGGAAGTACCCATCTCTCTCTCTTCATGGTATCGAGGGGGCTTTCTCTGGAACAGGAGCCAAGACTGTGATCCCCCGCAAAGTCATTGGCAAGTTTTCCATCCGCATTGTTCCTGACATGGACCCCAAAGATGTGGAGAAGAAGGTAGACCCTGAAATACCTTAGACTGGTTGTGTCTAACATGTCTAACATGGTAGATGCTGACGAATGAATATTAATCTTTAAACCATAATTTAAAATGACACTCTGTGGAGCACATGCCTCCACCAAGACTGATCAATCCTACACATGATCGTCTAGTTCTTATGGTAGAAATATAAACGAAAAAGGAAGAAGCCTGATAACCTTAAATAGTCCTAAACAGTGAACTTGAATACCAACGTAACCTTTATTTGACCCTTATTACGTGTACCTAGTTGAGAGAAAGGAACTTGAAGCAGTGTTAGAAATTGTAAATTTTACAAAAATATTATACATTGTTAAAGAACAAAAATGCTGATAATTGTTTATACTAAAATGTCTGACCTTTGTCCTGACAAACAAACTTTGTGGTTCTTTGGTTTCACTGATATTTTTCCTGTTTAATTTTCAAGGTTATCAACTATCTGAAGAAGAAATTTGATGAACTGAAATCCCCCAACAAACTCAATGTTTACATGGGCAGCGGAGCCAAGGCCTGGGTCTCTGACTTCAACCACCCGCATTACATGGCTGGTCGAAAAGCCATGAAGACAGGTACAAAGACTGAGTAACACAGAATGACAGAACTGCTACAACAGAAAAATATTGGAAAAAGAAACATTACATTTGGACATGTTTTACTCTCTCACTATTTTACCTTCATCTCACCCTCCTTGCTCTGCCGTAGTCTTTGGTGTGGAGCCTGACCTGACCCGTGAGGGTGGAAGCATCCCCATCACCCTGACCCTCCAGGAGGCCACAGGATGTAATGTCATGCTGCTTCCTGTGGGATCCTCCGATGATGGCGCTCACTCCCAGAATGAGAAACTCAACAGGTATATCACAGCCCAGATAGCATACGGATGTGGGACTTGTTAAATCACAAATGTCCCAAAAGGAAAGTTGGTCACTGAAATATGCATCGAAATGAACAAACAAGCAAACACTAAAAATTACATCTGTGTGATAATGTCATGTTGACAGAGTGTTTTGACAAAATGCACATTAATATATTTGACAAAATGTTGACTCTTCTTTTGCAGCTTATAATAAAGACATTGATCCACTGATTTAACAAGCTCATCACTGTTTTATGTTTCTCTTTCAGATTCAACTACATTCAGGGAATCAAAGTGCTGAGTGCATACTTTTACGAGGTTTCCCAGCTCAAATGAAGTCACGTCTCATCATGAAAAATGGAAAATAACGTCAATCCACACTATCAGAGCTATAGTCTTTGTGGTATTGACTTCCATAGTAATGCTTTATACACACAAGCTCCTTAAAATAAAAGTGCTTCTTTATTTGTGTCCTCCTGTTTCATTATCACCTTATAGGTTTTTGCTTTAGTGCATTGCATAAAATGGTCCGCTCACTATAATGAACCTAAATGTCAATGGATTTAAAAAGTAATATTGACTCATTTTTCTCTCTTGAGACTTGTTAAAAATGGTCAATCAGGTACCTAATGTGGGTTTTTACTATTTCAAAGTAGATTGTATGATTATTCAAATCACATGAACATAAGAGTGACATTTTGACAGGTAAAAGAAATATGATCTTTCATGTCTCTGTCAGAATATTTGATCATTACGGAGGCAAAGGTTTTATACACTATCAAGCACACTGTATACACAGAGGTAGATTCACAGAGACTCATGTTCATGTCCAAAGATTTTTTTAAGAAATCAATTCAAAATTGGAAATCACAATTTAAAACTATTTTCAGGGGGAAAAATGTTACAAAAGGGATTATAACAAGTCGAATAAAAGAGACAAAGAGATGAAAAAAGGTAGAAGATACAAAAAGGATAAAATCTAAATAGAAATTTCAGAATAAGTTGAAGGAGTGAAACAATACAAATGAAATAGATTAATTTTGTAAAATACTAAAATAAAATGTTATAAATAACGGCATGAAGACGCACACAAAAAGTGTTCAATAACGGCATAATCACCAAGTATGATATTTAAAGGCTCAGTGTATAGATGTGGTGACCTCTAGTGGTGAAGTTGCATGTTGCAGCTGAATACCCCAAAACTCACCATCCTCTTCCAAACATGATAGAGAACCTGTCGCAGCCTTCAGTTGTCGTAAAAACTCAAAAAGTGTTTAGTTGGTCTACCATTAGATCATCTTACACACTGAACCTTTAATTTTTGAAGTTCAAGCAGAAAGAGCATTGATTTCTCTGCAGCCTGTCCCTTTATTAACCGTGAGCTGACTGTTGTGTGCAATTACATAATGATAAATAATGGAAACATCCATAGCTATCATCATCAGAACTTATTTCTGCTCTGGTATCTTCATATCGACCAGTCTGTGGTGAAATCAATCATCAATAATCAGTTTGGAAACAAAATGCGTGTTTTGGGAGATTGGGGGATGAATGAAAGAATCTGGCAACACAACCTGTGACGACACCGGCGCGGGAAGAACGTAAACATCCCAAAGCGGAAGTGGCTCCTCGCTGAAGTTTGAAGAGTTGAATAATGAATTAAAAACTGGTCTTCTCTTCGTCTGTTGTAGTCGCAGAAACTTTTATTAGAGAGAAGACAAGCTACACTAAGTCACAGCTACTAAAACATAAATATTTACGATGCAGGCGCGTAAGAAACCGTACGAACAGTAACGTTGTGCCTCAGATTATATATGAACGTGTTGCTGCGAACACAGGAGGAGTTCCGACTGTCAGGAAATATCATAGACTGTATATAAACATCAGGAGTATTTAATCTCCAACCTGGAGACGTCATGGCTCGGTACAACGAGGTGAAGCTTCTGCTGAAAAACTGGGAGCAGGAGTTCGTCCAGCAGCACCAGAGGAAACCCAACAAGGTGATTCAAACTAAACTTCTGGAACGTGATGGAAGAATATTGACTATCGATAACTGAAACATGAATTTCATGGGGAACAATGATAAAATCTGACTCACACAGTGCTGTTTGATTTTCAGGAGGACGTTGATCAAGCTCCAGAAGAGACCAGGAGTGAGCACTGAGCTTACATTGCTTTATAACATTTATTTACCTTTGATTTGATCTGTTTAGAGACAAAAGAGAATCACTTTGTGTGTGTCTGCATTTTCAGAACTGTATAAAGAATATCGCGATTTGAAACAAGCCAAAGAGAACAGCAGCAGTGATGCAGCCAGCGAACAGTGTAAAACTACAGCTGAGGTCAGTACAGCCCACAGGCTACTGAGGAAACAGTATTTGTATCTGGCACAGTGTTTATACGTTCACATATTGTTTTGTATAAATGTATTTACAGTGAAAAAGTAGTCCATCAATGCAAACATATTAGAGATCTGGCCCTGTGCAGGATTTAAACTAGAACTGTGGACTTTGCAGACGTTATAAATTACTGTCCAATTTGTTTGTGTGTTGTCTGTCCATTCAGAAGTCAGACTGCTGGGGCGCTCATCTGAATCGCAGTATGATGCCGGTGTCTTGTCCCAAACTGACATCTGAGGACAGAGATAGTCTTAAGGCCTCGTCACAATATTATGGCCTGAAGCTTAAACATAACCTGGCCACACTCAGTAAGGTAAGGCACACTTGAAATAAAATTATGGTCAGAATGAGAGTGAAGGTTTTTGATACCAAAATCGAGATGAAATGTTCAGGGCAACAGTAATGTTGGTTTTAATACCTTTGTAATGATTTCCTGTTGCTATTCCAGGAGGAACCTGTCTCCCTGCGGAAATCAGTCCTTCCTGGTCGAGTTCCTTTTAACTCATTGAAAAGTCGACAGATTGGTCAAACGCACAGCCCTGTTGTTGCTGCTGTCACTGACAAGACCACACCCACTAACCCTGCATCCAGCCCCTTTTCACCGAGGTAATGCATTAAAGAAAGTATTTCAATGGAAGCCATATATCATCACTGCATTAATCCTAGATGTGTAACCAAATGAATATTGGATTGCAATTTGGTCTGTAAATAATCTATATATATATACTGCGTATATCTTGTATTATTATAGTAGTATTTTTGATTATAAGTGTAAATCTGACCTACTATGTCTTAATTATTATTATTAAATCAATAATTTCTTATTTATATAATTCAATATGGAATAATTTTAATTTTTTAATATTGAAAATTTCAGACTTTCATGACTTCTCGAGCACAGCTAGTATTTCAAATATTTCATTTGATTGTATTTCCTTTTTCATTTGACCAGAACAGCCTGTAAACATCCTTCTTTGTTCACAGAAGAGTGAAGACTTGCTTGGGGTCTCTGGTGTCAAAGACGCAACAATCCGAGGAAAGCGATGAGCCGTTTGAACCTTTTGAACTTGTTAAAGAATTAAGTGATGAACATTTAGATGCAGCTAGTAGTGGTAGTATTACTAAATTAAGTGATTTAAGTAGTAGGGTTAGTACCAGTAAAGTACTTGGCTCACAAAATCCCTCCTCAGCCAGATCTTCTGCCTTGTTGATGTCGTTGTCTCCTCCAAGTAACAGAGAAACCTCAGGAGAAGACTTTGCGGCACCAGGAAAATTAAATGACACTATTGGAGCTTCAAACAAAAAATATAATTCTGAAACAATAGGAACTCCACGTCAGAGTCTTGGTTCTTTGAGAGGAAGTCCTCAGTTTCTTGGAGGTTTCAGAGGAGGAGCTGGAGCTAATGTTGCAGAAGGAAGGCCCTCTCCTGTCAGCAGGCTGAGTTTTGTTGACAAGAAGTGGCTGGAGAGGTGTCAGGTGTTTGGAGAGATAGGGGCAGAGGAGAGACCTGGAGCAGGCAACCAGGAGGTGCAGGCAGAGAGAAAAGAAGAGAGGGAACCACAAGGAGAAATACAAGGAGTTGAAAGAGCAGACAAAGGAGAAATAGATGCAGAGGGAGAAAGAAGAGAGGCGATAGACTTAGGAAGAGATGAAGGCATTAAGAGCAATAAGAGTGATGAAACAGGTGCTGATAGTGTTGCTCAACAACCCTCCAAAAAAAACAAAGAAGGAGGAGAAGAAAAAAAGAAAAAGAAGAGAGGTGAGGAGATGCAAAGAGAACCAACACCACCTCCAACAATAGAGGATGAGGGTGAGACTCGTCCCAAGTCCAAAGGTACAAAGAAGAGAGGGAGGAAGAGGCAGAGAGAGGGAGACGACACAGAGGGAGGAGTGAAGAAGAAGAGGAGTGTGAAAAAGAAAGAGGAGAGCTCTGATTTGAATCCCAGCCCATCTCGAAAAGGAGGGAAGAAAAGGAAAACTAAGGGAAAGAATGAGGAAGAGGAAGATGGAGAAGAGGATGAGAAACAAATCAAGGAACCAAAAAAGGTAAGGAGCTACATTTATGTCTTTCATGGAACATATTGTCGTGTCATGTTATTTATATTTTACAAATTCATGAAATGATTCTTCAAGGTGCCCCAGGAGAACTTGTTAGGAGAGATAGACGAGGAATTTCTGACGAAGAGAATGTGTCAGAGTCAGCCTGTGAGAGCCAGGTAGGATCACACAAGACCACGTGCTGCACAATGCTAATGCAGCATGTTTATCTGCAGCCTGTGAAAAAATCTGTTTGTTTTACTGTGACAGAGGCATGAAAGGTGCTGAGGGTAACTTTGTGAAGATAAATCTGAAGAAGAAATCTCATGTCAAAGGTTACGCACTCAGAGGAATGGCTCTACGCAAACAGGTACATTTCTTACATGTGTTCTTGTGTGTGCATGATTGTCCCACACATCGATGTGTTTTATCACTGGCGTTCAGATAAGTTATCATATTATGAATTAATCTGTTTATTGCTGATGGACAATCAAACACATGTAAGGATGTATTTTTCATGCAGTGTTTCTTGACTCTTAGTTAATAACATCAAATGTGCCTCTTTGCTGGGTTTTCTTGGCGTCATAAATCTGTGGTGTATGTTTCAGTTGTACATGCAGAAGTTCCAGCTGAAAGGTGAACGTTTTGGTGGAGGCGGTGGTTTCTTTGGCAGAGGAAGGAGAGGAGGCTTTAGAGGGGGGCTCAATCGACAGGGTGACACCTGCTACAAGTGCGGAGGAACCGGACACTGGGCCATGGACTGCAAAGGACGAGGTAACAGAGTCAACATTCACACATTACAACTTGCAGTGGCAAAAATAAAACTCAGGATGTTTTGACGCCTGAATATTCAGACCAAGGTTCACATTTGTTAACATTTTATCCGGTTAGTTTCACATTGTAATTTAGCAAACGTACTAACGGACTTGGCTTGACTTACCGACGACCGGTCCTCATCACCTTTGTGTTCTGATGAACGTGAAATACCTCTGAACTCTGTTGTGTAGCTCCTCCCCCTCCTGTTCCCGAGGACGGACCTGTTGAAGAAGAGCCGTTTGAACTTCCAACTCTGGAGGAGGTTGCCCGGGCAACTGGAACACTGCAGCCTCAGCCGCTTTGTAAGTCTGAACTTTGTTGAGCTTTCTGTTGCCTCATCTATATAAATAATTTATACAGTTTGTCTGGTTTGTTGTTTTGTTGTATGGATTTCTTTTGAAATCTTTATCTCACTCTACTTAAGAATTATTGACATTTAATGCAACTTCAATCCACCACACCATATTCTATATATTGCATAAAAAACATGTTGGTGACTTTTTATAAGACGATTAATATGTCAACAAGCAACAGGGATGTTTTGCAAACACAAGAAATTTTAGTTCCAGTATCACAAATACTTTAGTTTTTGTCCTGGTTGTGTGAATCCTGGTGCGTTTGTGTGTTCCAGTGTCATCCCCCAGTGTCAGTGAGGAGCAACAGCAACAGAATAATGAAGCGGAGCATAAAGACGACGTGTTGTTGAAAGTGATTCGTCCTGATTACGAGCGACCCGCTCCTCCGCCACCGATGGAACCACTTTATCCCATCACAGATGATGGAAAAGTTCAGGGTAAACATAACTCCTTAATTTTTACTTACATGGTAAACTGAAACAAAATAATTTTCTCACAAGTTAACTCCGTCTGTGTACACGTGTCCAGCAACACCTGCTGATGTGTATGCAGCTCTGAAAGACCTCGGCTATGAGTCATTTCGACCAGGACAGGAGGAGGCCATCATGAGGATCCTGTCAGGTACGAAACACACAGCACAGACTCGCACTGTTTATCTGTGTAGCTATAACCTGTGTTCATGTTTGTCTCTGTCACTCTCTTATCTCTGTCTTTAGGTCTCTCTACCCTGGTCGTGTTGTCAACGGGAATGGGTAAATCGTTGTGCTATCAGCTTCCGGCGTACTTGTACGCTCAGAGGTCAAAATGTATCACACTGGTCATCTCACCTCTCGTCTCACTCATGGATGATCAGGTAATCACATAAACCTCAGCATAAGAAATCATAAGATTAAATCACAGATCAGAGCGCATTGAATTACTCACTTTAAACAGTGATGCAGTCGACACTCTCTTCATGTGTGTTTCCAGCTGTCTGGTCTGCCAGCCACGCTGAGGGCAGCCTGCATCCACTCCAACATGACCATGAAACAGAGGGAAGCTGCCATAGAAAAGGTAACGCACATTACAGGAACCTCCACAGTTGAGTAGCAAGAGTTTGATTCCTCTCATCCCCTTTTCATCACTCTTCTTATTCACAATCGCGTGTGAGGATTCTTGAAAAATTCACAGACTGTTCTTAATAGAAGGTTTAATCCAGTACATCGACATCTGGTCCCGGCGTCATCTAGCCCAGATAGAATGGCCACATCATCCAGGTTTTTGACAGTACTGTTTCAGTCTGTCTGTCTCTCCTCTGTTTCTCCAGGTGAAGTCCGGCCAGGTGTGTGTGCTGCTCCTCTCTCCGGAGGCTCTGGTTGGTGGAGGTGGCTCAGGTGTAGGGTGTCTGCCCTCTGCTCAGGAGCTCCCTCCTGTGGCCTTTGCCTGTATAGACGAAGCTCACTGTGTCTCTGAGTGGTCACACAACTTCAGACCGTGTTACCTGAGGCTCTGTAAGGTGGGTTCATGATGGTGTGTGTTTGTGCCTATGTTTCATGTTTTACACCACCATCAGTTAATTTAAGGGGGGAAACAACATCTGAATATTACAATACATTGCACTTAACTATTTACAAGTACAGGTGATAACACTAATATTGTTTAAAGGTTCGACAATCACCAAATTAAGGTTTGAAACCAATATTAGATAGAAAGTGAAAACAATTTTCATAATAATTAGCAGTTCCTGTTTTTTCTTTTTGTGCCTTCATCTCTCTGCTGCAACTCAAAGCTGCTCATTTGTTTTTAGAATATTGTAGATAGATGAATTCTATCACATGTAAGAATTGATTTATAGTCTTACCACTATACCCTTGCACTTATGTGATGTTTTTATATTTTTAGGTATTAAGGGAGCGTTTGGGAGTGCAGTGCTTGCTGGGACTCACTGCTACGGCCACGCAATCTACTGCTCTGGACATCGCTCAGCATCTGGACATCACCGATCAAGAAGGCATCGCAGTTCGATCTGCAGCAGTGCCTCCCAACCTGTATCTGTCTGTGTCCATGGATAGAGAGAAGGATCAGGTGTGATGATTTACAGATGTCTCCAAGGACTCCATCTGCCCCTATGTGTCTGTGTATATTTTCAGTTGGTTAACTCTACCTGTGCAACTTTTCTTTTTTTATATTTTAAGGCTTTAGTGTCCTTGTTAAAAGGCGACCGCTTTGGTTGTCTGGACTCCATCATTGTCTACTGCACCAGGAGAGAGGAGACTGCTCGTGTGTCAGCGCTGCTCAGGACCTGCCTGCAGGGGGTGCTGGTGAAAGAAAACAAACAAAACAACAGCAGCCAGACACAAAACAGCTCCTCAGCACAGAGGAAGAAAGACCTGGGTAAGCTTAGAACCAATTCATTTTTTTGTCATGAAAACTGAGGGGAAAAAAAGTTTGAGCAAAGGTTTAGGATGGAAATGAATAACATCAGCCAACAACATATTTTAATCTTGTTTTCTCTTTGTCTCTTCTGTACACAGCAAGGAAGAAGATACGTAAGCCACTGAAGTGGCAGGCTGAGACGTACCACGCCGGCCTGACAGCGTCTGAGCGCCGTCGTGTCCAGAACAACTTCATGTGCGGGGAGCTTAGAATAGTGGTGGCCACTGTGGCTTTTGGCATGGGCCTCGATAAATCTGATGTTCGTGGTATCATCCACTTCAACATGCCAAAGGTGGGTTGTTGCCGAATCAGTAGCTCTTCAAACTTTTGTAATCCTGTCGCTATGAACATAAATAAAGCGTAGATAGATATTTTTAAATGGTGCTTGTTACAAACTTGGAAAATACCCCAAAGTTAGTTTGCTTTACTTTTTACTGCATGAATACAGAATATTGTTGACTGAGAGCTTCCCATGTCCCATCTACATCAACACTGACTGGTAATTGTTTCTCCAGAGCTTTGAGAGCTACGTTCAGGAAATTGGGAGGGCAGGGAGAGACGGAGAAGCGGCCCATTGTCACCTCTTCCTGGACCCTGAGGTGAAAATCAAATTGTGCTCTCTGCTGGTCTTTTTATTCTCTTATGTATAAATATATTCACTGCCTGTGTATTTGTGTGAAGGGCGGAGACCTCCATGAGCTTCGTCGTCACATCTATGCAGACACAGTGGACCACTACACAGTGAAGAGGCTGGTCCAGAAAGTTTTCCCTCCATGTAAATGTAAACAGATACACCAGAAACAACAGGAGCTCGTCAAGGTAACTCCCCTTTTTGTGTGTGTGCGTGTTTGTGGTTCACATGCTTTTCCAATAAGTGTTTATTCCAAGACTTTCTGTCAAGTAAAATGATGCGTCTCTCTGACTGTAGGACATTGACGACAATGAGCTGTTGGAGATGATGGATGTGTGTGATCAGGAGATCCTCATGAACCCTCCTACTCAGCAGGACGTAGAAGACGCAGACAAACCAAAACCTGCTGCTGCACAGGTTTTATATTTAATCGTTTCTTTTTAACCCAATCACCCAATAAAAGAAACTGAAGGAGGTTGATATTTTAATACATTTTATGAGGACACATTTTACAACACTTAACATAACCTTGTTTTCACTTTAAGGAGATGTCACATCCCGGTCCGTTACCAATCCAGGAAGACAGAGATGAAGGAAAGGTAAACGAGGAGAGTAAAGAGGAGCAGGCAGTAAAAGATGAGGGAGCTGATGGTTTGTGTGTGGAGGTGAAGGCAGCCGGAGATTTGCTGAAAGACGACAGAGAAGAGAGCAGTGATTGGCCCCGAGAGCGAGTGTGTCACACGCACGAGAGAGCGATTCCCATCCAACAGACTGTGGAGGCTCTGGACATCACAGAGGAAGGTGAGTAGAAACACACACGAGGATATGTACACGAAGCAAAGGTCAATCAAAACAAAATGAAGCATGGTGGATAGTAGGACACGGTATTAATGTATTAATCTATTAAATACTTTAAAAACCTAATTGTTTGTCTCTCTCTCTCTCTCTGTTTGTGTGTCGGTCAGGTGTGGAAACTCTGCTCTGTTATCTGGAGCTGCATCCTCAGCGCTTCGTCGAACTTCTTCACCCCACCATGTCTGTGTGTAAAGTCAGCTGCTATGATGGACCGAGACAGCTCCAGAAAATCACAAAAATGTATGCAATGTTAAGACATTCTCGTGCGTTGCCCCACGTGCCAGACTGCACAGCTTTAATGAACTTCTCTGTATTTCTTCTTCACAGCTGCCCTCCCGTCGCTGTGGTCCTGGCTAGAAGGCGAATGGCGGGCGAGAAAGTGGAATCCTGTGATCAGCTGGAGTTTGACGTCGTCGAGGTTGCGGACACTATGGGATGGCAGCTTCCTATTGTAAAGAGGGGACTCAGACAGCTGCAGTGGAGCACCGGCAGAGGTGTGTTTATGAACTATTGAAGAATATTCACGTTTTTCTACAGTGTCAAAAATTATATTAAATAACTTTGGCTAAACTAAATTTCACTGTTATATGTGGACACAAATAGCAAGTAGTTAAACTGTTATTGTGGAGTGCTTATTAAAGGTCTTTCACTTGACACGACCCAAATCACTCCTTATTTCCTGTCAGGTCTAATGACAAAACAAAAACAATTGATCATAAATATTTGTTTTACAGCTGGCGGGCGTAGCGGCATCCAAGTTGAATTCTCCTCTCCGTCTTTCTACTTCCGCTCCTTCGGTGACCTGAGCGACGAGGAGATGGACAGAGTTTGTCGGTTCCTCCATAATCGGGTGCAGGACCAAGAGAGGACACAGCTCTACCAGCTGACCGCCTGTTTTAAGGCCTTCAAGAGGTAAACACTGTTTTACAATAAGTGAAATTAATTCTATTAATCAGCTCAAATGGTTGTAATGAAAGGTAAATTGAGGAAGTTTTTTTTAAATCTTTAATGGCAGTTGTCTACGATGGTTGCAGTTTATTCTGTTCTTTGACTGATATTTCCTAATCTGTTTTGATTTGGTAAATCCCACCTGTCTATCTTCATAGTCCCTTAATTCATTTGTGTGTGTGTGTGTGTGTGTGTGTGTGTGTGT